CGGCTGTTCTGACTCACAGACTGTAAGTAAATTTTTTATATTTAAAGAATTTGCCATTGATGATTCAAACACGAGTTAGGAGCAGTGCTTGTTGTTTGTCGTTTCTCCGATCACAAATGCAGACATGATTTTATGTTTATGTGGCGCGATGCAACGCAACGTATAAAAAGACAGTATAAGTCATTATAATCCGTAATTATGTCCCCACTGGATGCAACAAATGCCTAGTTTATAATGGGTTTTAATGTTTTTGTCTCGTCGCTCCGGCCGGACAGGGCATCACAGTATGGTAAGGGGTGTAACATTTCCGTCACACGCTTGAGGTATTCAGCCAATCACAATGCACTGGATAGCTGGCCAATCACAGCACACCTTGCTTTTCAGACCGATGAGCTTTGTAAAAATCGACGTGTTTCAGAAAGGCGGGGCATAGAGGAGAAACAATAATGTACAGTATGTCGAAAATAATGTGTTTTTTGAACCTTAAACCGCATAAACACATTTCATTACACCAAATACACAAAATAATGTTATTTTTAGCAACATCATATGACCCCTTTAAAATACATCCTGGCTCTTCCAAGCTTTATAATGGGAGTGGATAGTAGCCCAAAATTTGAAGTCCAAACAATTGAACCAATCCATTACAAAATAAGTCCACACAGCTCCGGGGGGTTAATAAAGGCCTTCTGAAGCGACGCGTTTGTGTAAGAAAAATATTAATATTTACAAATGTATAAACCTTAATCTCTAACTTCTGCACGCTCGTTCATGAGAGAGTGGCGTCCAGCGGATGATGTAGGCGTAGCATAAACTCCGGTGAGAATATGCTAGTCTCGCGAGAAACTAGTTTTGTTTACAGCAAAGGAAAACCAGTTTCCTCTTGGCTTATATTGAAATCCTCCGACATTTTTCTTTACAAATCCTCGTTTTGTACTACTAATTCGTGACCGGTGTTTTGTTTTGCTCTGTCCCCTGCACTTCCGCATTTGTCACCGTGTTTGCCTACGTGCTACGTCATCCGCTGGACGCCCCTCTCTTGTGAATGCGTGTAGGACAGTTAGCGGAAGCTAGAGATTAAGGTTTATAAAGTTGTAAATATGAATATTTTTCTTACACAAACGCGTCGCTTCACAAGGCCTTTATTAACCCCCCGGAGCCGTGTGGACTTCTTTTGTAATGGATTGGCTCAATTGTTTGGACTTTAAATTTTGGGCTACCATCCACTCCCATTATAAAGCTTGGAAGAGCCAGGATGTTTTTTAATATAACTCCGATTGTATTCGTCTGAAAGAAGAAAGTCATATACATCTAGGATGGCTTGAAGGTGAGTAAATCATGGGGTAATTTTCATTTTTGGGTGAACTATCCCTTTAAGTCAGCGCGTTCTGAACTCCTGCGTGCTCATACTAGTAATCTTGTGCTGCGTTCACACCGAGCACAATACCGGTATTTTTGAAAAGGTCCTGTTCACACATGATCCCTTAACGGTAATTTACCAGTAAAGACGTTGTGTGTGAAAAGTAATCTCCAGCAGGTGATTTATTTTATTGTAAAAGACCAGCCAGTGGCGGTTGAACATCCATCTGAGGACTGCACAGAAAACACTGAAGGGCTTAACCAAACCACAGCCTGTTTGTGTGATGGTCACATTTATCCAGCACGTGCTGGCAGGCTTTAGGATGATAACAAAATCCTACTATCAGTCTTTAAAGATGGAGTATTTCTGTGTTAAACCAGCTGGCCTTTGCTGACAATCTCCTATAATCCCCAATCCTCATCCTAGGGAGTCTTTATAATAGCAGTCAATTCAAATGTGAGCATCATACAACCACAACATATATAAAATCATCTGCTTTGGCCATGCAACAGCGCGTTCTGAACTCCTGCGTGCTCATACTAGTAATCTTGTGCTGCGTTCACACCGAGCACAATACCGGTATTTTTGAAAAGGTCCTGTTCACACATGATCCCTTAACGGTAATTTACCAGTAAAGACGTTGTGTGTGAAAGGGGCAACTGTTGCACTCTATTAAAACTAAACTCAAGAATGAATCAGATATTTTGTTCATTTAGTAGAATCGTGAATGTGTGAAAATCAATGACTGACAGATGATTTATTCTATTCTATTCTAATTTATTCTATAATTGTAGTCTCTTTCTGTAGCCTGACAAAATATAATGTCTAGCAGTGGACAACAACTGTAGACAAACTTACTGTAGGCACTTTTTATGTACAGACTTATATATAGACTCGAGTCCACGAGCTGGTGTCACCTGCGGAGAAGAGCCACCGAGCGAACCTTTTCTTTTTGTATCAAAATCCTCACCAGTAATTCCAATCAAACGTTCGAACTCACATATGGTTCCAAGTACACTGTCTAGGTAACGTTAGGCAGCTCATTAGATTTAGAAATAAAATCGATATAACTGACATCGATCTCTGTATTAAGCGGCATCATCCAGCAGCACTCATAACCATGACTAACGGAAATTAGCTGCTGGCTAACAACGGGCTTTACATTTTAGGGGACGAGCAGCCAAAACACCGGTACACGTCATGATCAACACTTACAAGATACATAACATAGCAACAACGACATAACAACAACTATATGATACGCAAAATATGTTTCTAACAACGATTAATTAATTAGTACGAAATTACGCCTTTTAAAAACACAAAGCTGTTGTAATAAAGCAGGTTAGCATTGAGACCGCTGCGCACCGCTAAACTACAGTGTCTGGATGCGTACATAACAACATGGGAATCATAATTTTGCCGTTGCATTGAAATAACAATGCATTTTCTCGTATAGACGGTTACCTGGTGTCCAGATGCGCTGTTAAAGAAATTGGATCTCTTCCGGATGGCCACCAAATACCAGCAGGATGGAGAAATAGAGTTGAAAGCTGCCGTATGTCAGACGGCGAGTTCAAACTGGCTCGCCGTTGTCTTTGAAATAGCGCCGCCTGCTGGCGAAAGGCGGCGCTAGATTTGGAAAAGTCCCCACATCGCTCTTTAGGGGCGCTAGCTCATGTATTTGATGGTTCTTGTAAATGTTTCCAAATTTAGAGCAGTAATCTCCAGCAGGTGATTTATTTTATTGTAAAAGACCAGCCAGTGGCGGTTGAACATCCATCTGAGGACTGCACAGAAAACACTGAAGGGCTTAACCAAACCACAGCCTGTTTGTGTGATGGTCACATTTATCCAGCACGTGCTGGCAGGCTTTAGGATGATAACAAAATCCTACTATCAGTCTTTAAAGATGGAGTATTTCTGTGTTAAACCAGCTGGCCTTTGCTGACAATCTCCTATAATCCCCAATCCTCATCCTAGGGAGTCTTTATAATAGCAGTCAATTCAAATGTGAGCATCATACAACCACAACATATATAAAATCATCTGCTTTGGCCATGCAATGCTGGGGGGAGCAATTAAACACGATAAAATGCCAGTGAAAACACTTTAATAAGCACTTTTTTGTTGCTTTAGTGCATTTCATAGAAAACAATTGCATTGCTTTTTAAATTCATATATGCTTAATAAAAAAGATAAACACATGGAGTGCAGCATGCATACAAAAATACTCCAGTGACAGCAAATGCATATCATAACAATGTATACATACATCAAACAAACAAGAATGCCAGTCATGTCACACAGGCACGTGAATTATAATATTCAGCATTAAATTCAGCAAGCAGGTGTCTTAAAACTCTAGTGCCTTTTTTAGTGCATTAAATTGGGGCTTTTTTGTAGTATCAGCATCTTATTGTATAGCACATCAAGCCACAATAGTCAATATAAAGCCCGAGGACACAGCAGACCGTCTCTGTATCGTATTAGAATAATAGGCTTTTACTATGAAGAACCAATTACCTCCGGACAGACTAGCACTTACACATTTAATATTTATTATATACTGTCCATAAAAAGTATATATATGATGAGATTTGTAATGCAATATTAGCTTAAACACAATTGTGTGCAATTTAGTATCTTTGGAGTAATTTGTGTCTGGGCCCGGAGCATTGAGAATGGTCTAATAGACGAAACGTTGGCTCTGCCTGTAGCCCAGTTTGTCCAGGTTGGGATTACATGCAAACTGGATCATGGGAGGTGGACCACACATGAGGATCATAGAGTCATCACTGGGTGGAGGCAGGTGCTCCTGAATCATCTCAGCATTGATGAAGCCCTGACTGTACTCCCAATCTGCAGACACGTAAATGTCAAAAAACAACAAATATATATGATCAATAAAAATACAAATCTAGTCTAAAACACGTCCCAAGTTCTTAAATGTACTCTGTTTTTATGTTGGTTTCCCTTTTTTGAAAAAGTTGTATCACAATGACAAATGAAATATCAAAAGGAATTTTAATTCAGAAATTAAAAACATTCATCATAGGAGGTCGAGTCATTTTATGTATAAATTACAATATTAAACGTATTTATAAACTGAATATACTGTTCAAAATTTTGGGGTTAAGATTTTTTAAATTATTTTATTTAGAAAGGTTGCATTAAACTGATCAAAAATGGCATTCATAGTTTTTCATTAATTATATAACTTCTATTTAAAATAAAAGCAGTTTTTTTTATTCTTTCTATTTATTAAATATGAGCTGCTCTGCCAGCTACAGTATTTTCCCCTCTTTGTGTTCGTCTTCACAAAGATGAACACAAACGTCCCGTTTACAGACTTTGTAATATTTCCACAAATTACATTTTGGAAAATGCTTGCAAAACAGTTTGTGTGCAAGTCCAGAACAGAGATCGCCTGAAATAAAAAAAATAATAAAAAAGAACCGATTTCCGATCACGCGTTTGGAGCAAAAACAGGCCGGTTCCAATTTATGGCCGTTCAATGTTTTCTACTACTAACATGAACTGTTTCAGGCAAGTGGTAAACTGTTCATTATTGGCTAAAGTAAAACACAATTAAATTTAAAACAATAATTTTCCGGGACTGGAAAATAAGTCACCAATTTTCCATGTTTTCCAGGATGCGTGGGAACCCTGAATGCAAATCAGCATATTAGAATGATTTCTGAAGGATCATGTGACACTGAAGACTGGAATAATGATGCTGAAAAAATTCAGCTTTGCCTTCACAGAAATAAATGACAGTTTAAAATATATTACAATAGAAAACAGTAATTTTAAATTGTAATAATGTTTCACAATATTACTTAATATTATTTTTGATCAAATAAATGCAGCCTTGGTGAGTATAAGAGACTTTCAGAAACACACAAAAAAAATCTCACTGACCCCAAACTTTTAAAAAGAAATGTATACCAAGCTTTATAATTTGTAGGATCGGTAGGAAGCCATATACCTGCAGGAGCTTGGTCCACTGTGAACCAGAGTTTGAAGCGATCCGGATGCCTCGCCTGAATCTCCTCCAGATCATCCTTCAGCAGAATGTCCTTCTCAGTCTGGAAGGCAGACAAAAAGTAAACAGATTCATTTTAGACTTGCAGTTTAATCTGTCTGAACATCACTTTTATTTAATATGTTGTTTATGAACAAACCATTTCATCATGCTCTGAAAGAGATAGTTCACACACACCCACAAAAATTGGTCAGTAATACATTTAAAACAATCTCTTTTCTAATGGAACACCAACCTGGTTGGCAAACAGCAGGCTGCATGTCGTTGTATCACTTGAGTTTTTGATGATGTCACGAATCAGCTGCAACATGGGCGTAATGCCTACAAAGGGAGCAGAACAAATGACTTTAGTGATCATACAGCTTTATTATGGCTAGAAATGAAGAGTAAGACACTCTACCAGTTCCTCCAGCTATAAGACCCAATGTTCTTACAGTCTTAGTCTCAGCAGGGGTCTTCTTATCGGCCTGTATAGCAAACTGACCTGTTGGGTGGAGATGTAGGTCTAAGGTGTGACCACTGTGTAAATACATCCATCTAAATTCAAATATTGGTAGTAAATGTGCTGAGTCAGACCTTGCCCCTTGTACTCCAGCAAACCTCCTGGTCCTCTGAAGTCAATCACATCTCCAATCCTCAAACTCTCCAAGTACTGGGACATCTTTCCCCCTTCTGGGAACTTTGGGTGCACATTCTTAAAATAAATCTGCAGAATGAAATATGTCAGCTCTATACTACTGTTTAAAACCCCAGGAGCTTTTTTAAGAAATATAGACAATCAGAACCTTCACAACGAGGTCAACGAATCCTCTGTCATCGTCGCTGGACACTGACTTTCTGACCTCAAACTAAATAGTATAGATACAGATTTATGTATATACCCTAGAAATTTATTTATTTATATACCCTGATTTAGTATATACCCTAGAAATATATTTTTTGTCTTATAACTGTACTAGTGAACATATTAAGTTGAATGTGCACAACCTGTGCCATGACGTTGATATCAGGAAATATTAGAAAAAGCATAAAACCACAAACTAAACCCTTGTTTTAGTGCAAAGGTTGATTGATATCAGGACAGATCAGCATTTTCAGTACAAATCTGATGTGGTTTGCGTTTCTTAGTAATTGGCTCACACGATGTTTTGAACCCCGTCTACATCTGAATTTAGTGCCGTCCACTAATGCCTTATATGTAAACAGTGTCCAAATGTCTGTGATTACTTTCAAGCTAACTGTGCACTTTTAAACATCATTTATCATTTAGCACACAGTTCTTTTCCAAAGCGGTTTACACAACAGGACAGGTGTGGGATGTCAGCATGCTTCAGACCAAACCCTGCAAACCTCTGTACTAGCAGCAGAGAAACAACCAACCCACCACCCAGTCCTCAGACTACTTACCTACTGGTAATCCCAAAACATGCTCTGGACTGGGCAGGGCAAACCGAAACCTGCGGGTATCGTGGCTTATGATCTGTAGCAAAAGAAAAAAAAGTCTTATTTTGTCAAAAGCATCTCGTCAGTACCACGAATATAAATTCTAGCACATAGAAATAAATAGACAGGGCAAATACCTCTTTGTCTACTAGTCTCAATTTGTATTTTTCAGAGGGATTAATCAGGGTAATCTGTGGTTTCCTTTTCCTGTTGAAGTAATAATAACCCAGCAGACCTGCTGTTGAGACCAGCACCACTCCAACCGACACTGCAACTGCAGTGGACTAAACATACAGATTAGTGCACATTAACAAAGCACATTTCAAATCCACCTTAAAAACATATAACAGAAAACGGGGGAAAAACGCCAAACATGCATTCACTGATATGCAACATACAACAGAAACGTGACTCAACCATTAATAAAGATTCTCCGCAGTTTCAAATGCCTGAATGAATCATCTGTATTTCCTAAAATAAACGTAGAATTGACGTTTCTGCTTTGGTATCCCATTTCAAGAAGAACTGTCTGCTGATTTCGTTTTCTACAAAACAAAAATGTATTTTAAATACAAATGACTGAATAGCATAGTTAGTGCCATGACTAGTCAATGTGCTGTGCTGATAAACCGATAACCAGCAATGTTAAACAAACTTGGTGGCATGCCAAAGCAACATTTCCTCTCAATAATAGTTCATTGCTGCAGTTAAACTTTAGTGTATTCTCTAAAGCGTTATGACTTACCATCGCGTAACTCATGCCAGCAGATCTACTTCTACAAAGGGATTCAGTCAGAACGAAGCTTCAGCCTTTAAACACTAGTCGGCACACCCATGAACATGCAGGCAGCTCTGTGCTGGAGGCAAACAACGCTGCGCACTCATTGCGCATAATAAAACGATTCGACCAACGCATTCCGTTCGGCCTAATGCCATCCACATTACTATCTAATGTCTGTTGTCGGCGGAAACCCATACAACCAGATAAAAATAAAAGTCCTGATAAATGTATGTATATATATTTAAAAAGTGGAATAAACTTTCCTTAATTTCGTTGTCCAAAAATTACAACACTTTATTTAAAATTAAATGTTTTAAATTAAAGTGCAAATAATAAATGTCCTCTGACTTCTTTTTGTTTAGAAATATATTTATTTGTAAAAATGCAATACAATTTTAAAAGTAAAAACGTGAAAGTAATTAAATGCCCAGAAGAAATTTTATTTAGTAAAGTCTAATCCACAAATTCTAAAAAAGTAGAAGCAATTTCCTGAATAATTAATACAGATTGTTATATCAATGCAGAAAGCACCATCATTTTAAGATACCAGGGTGCTTTCAGAAGTAGATAATTGCATACATTGGTTCCCTTATATTTCCCGAATTCATTTATGTTCAAGCTATTATCTTTTTCACATAATTGCAAACATTGAAGTGAAGCTGATTCGAGGTGGCTGAGAAAACCTCCAATGCCAAAGACTTTGTCTCTTCTGATCCATTCCAAAGGGCCCGATAAACTGGTAATGTGTACTTCTGTTTCCCCTGAATGCAAAACATGAAAATCAGTCTTTTAAAACAAGTCAACCAGTCTCTAAGCATACCAGCAATCAAATTATTAGTCTAAACAGCTAAATGATTAATAAATAGTTGTACAGATTCTAACCTGGCTTGTGAGGAAATTGCGAATATGTTGGAATCCTGGTTTATGCTGATTCTTTGCAACAATCTGGGCCCATCGCAGTTTCAGCTCGGCATTGTTGGACTCAATAATATGCGAGTAGCACTCCTCCAGCTTCTTTATGTGGCCTGTTAATATGGGGATATTATTTATTTTACCATCTACTTAAATACAACTTTTACAATATTAAAACAAACCATCAACACAAGGAAGTATTTGCACCATCTGGAAGTGGTGACTTCTCAAGGATCTTTTCCAAGAAGTAGACAGTTTGGTAGGTCTTCCACAGTTTGATATCAGTTTTGCAGATAGATTCCAAGTCTAGGTTATGATCAACCCACATTTCCGCTAACAGTTCTGCTGGTTTCATTAGCTCCTGACCAGCAGAGAGGTCAGGCACATATGCAGGCCAACCCGACACATTGAGCCAGCTGTCAAAATCCAGACCTAATAAACAACCGAGAAGAAACAAAAGCTGATGCAAAAGGCAGTCTGACCAAACAGTATGAATTTATCTTTTTCAAAGAAATGCTACTAATGCTCTTTTTCTGCACCCTCAATTTTGTGGACATTCTTCTCTTTCAGGTCTGGGAAATACTCCAGGTAGAAGTCCAATGCATCCTCTGCCAACACACTTCTGAACTTGAACTTGTCCACATAAGCCTTGAAGAGACACAATTGAATTGCTCTTTTATCATACTTATTTACATATTTTTATTTGTACATACCAAAGGTTTTTAAACTTTTTGAAGAGCGACCCTTTTTTTCTTTTTAAATTTACGGGACATGATATATATATACACACACATATATATATATATATATATATATATATATATACAGTGCCTTGCGAAAGTATTCATACCCCTTCATTTTTTCCACGTTTTGTTATGTTGCTGCCTTATGTTAAATTGCTTGAAATTACTTTTTTTCCACATCAGTCTACACTCCATACACCATACTGACAAAGCAAAAACAGAATTATCACAAATTCGTAAATTGATTAAAAATAAAAAACTGAAATAAGTACATTGCTAAATAAATATTTAGCTGAAGCACCTTTACAGTCTCACGTCTTTTTTGTTTGATGCGACAAGCTTTTCTCATCATCTTTTGGCTAGTATCTGCCATTCTATTCCTCATCTCTTCACCTCTCAAGCTCTTTCAGGTTGGATGGGGCAGATGCACATTTTCAGGTTTCTCCAGAAATATTTGATTATTGGGTTCAATCTCAGGCTGTGGCTGGGCCACTCAAGGACATTCACAGAGTTGTCTGAAATAATTACATTGCATAAGTATTCATACCCTTAACTAAATATTTAGCTGAAGCACCTTTACAGTCTCAAGTCTTTTTTGTTTGATGCGACAAGCTTTTCTCATCATCTTTTGGCTAGTATCTGCCATTCTATTCCTCGCCTCTTCACCTCTCAAGCTCTTTCAGGTTGGATGGGGCAGATGCACATTTTCAGGTTTCTCCAGAAATATTTGATTATTGGGTTCAATCTCAGGCTGTGGCTGGGCCACTCAAGGACATTCACAGAGTTGTTTATAAGCCACTCTTGCTGTGGGCTTAAGGTCACTGACCTGTTGGCAGGTGAACCTTCTGCCCATTCTGACGTTCT